CCGCACGCACACACACACACACACACACACACATACACACACACACAGACACAGACACAGACACAGACACACACTCTCACACACACACACACACACACACACACACACACACACACACACACACGCGTGTGTCAAATCCATCTTCAAAGAGCTTCAGTGAAGAACTGCATGAGAAATTCATCAATAAGATGCAGGTTTGTCATCATTCTGATCCTGAATCCTTAAACTCACCCAGAAACTGTTGAGTTCTGGAAGAATAAAAACAAGCTGGAATATTAATATTTAAGACTAGACTGCTAATTTAGGTAAGGATAATTAATAAACCCATAATCTGCGGTGAATATTTGGTTACAGCTCCTCTAATCGCATTACAGTTCCTTCTCATTCGATGTCTCTTCCTGAAGACCTGAACTGATTTCTGGTTCTGAAGGACAAACGTTTCTGGACCTTCATTTAAGAAGAAATGAGGAACTCATTTACTGACAATTCAAAGGATGCTGATGTCGATCTATAGGGCTTCTCTTCAGCGTTAAGAGGAAAATAAGAGGAAACGGACCTGATGAACACAAATAATGGACTGCAGAATAAACACACAGACACACATCTGAAGCGCCAACATGACAATAAATTAACCATCAGGGCCCGTATTCACAAAACACTGGTTTTATCTTACCACTAAGAGTTCTCCTAAATAGCAGTAAAAAATATTTTTCTCTTAAACCCTATTCACAAAGCTGCTGAGACCAACCTTTACTTAGGAATAGAGAGAAGTGTTAAGCTCAGAGTAAGGGGGCGGGGCTGAGCTCATTGCTATGGATGATGTCATCAAGCTTATTAACTATGCACACAGTGATTGGCTGATAGTCTCTGTCAGAGATTTATTCATAGAAATATTGTAGAGCGTGATATGTTGCCATATTCAAATAAAGGTTTAAAAATAAAAATGTTAATTGCCACATTCAAATAAAGATTGAAAAATGCAGGCTAAGAGTCACTAATTAAACAAGTATATGTTGTCAGCCTCTTACATGTGTGCTTCTTGTAAACAATTAGCGGATATGCATATAAACAGCTTTTTAATTAACAGAGTAGAATAATCATAGCTGATAGTAAGACATGCAAACGTAAAAGAAAACCGGATGCAAAACTGGTTACTTCTTACCCAGCTGGTTAATGAAAACAAAAAAGGAAAAATTGGATTTGGGATAAGACGCTTCAAGAAACCTGCTGCAAAGCTCCTGAGAAACTCTGCTCAAGTGCACCGAGGACAAAAGCTGCTTTAAAAGCTCTTGAGGCCCTGGTGGATGGAGGGCGAGATGGAGGCGTTGGAGAAGGCGGCCGAGGAGCCCGAGACCGGGCTGGGGCTGAGGCTGCTGGCCCCGGGGCTGCCCATGTTCCCGGAGCCGGGCAGAGACGCTGTGCTGTCGGGCGTCGGGCTGCAGGTCGTCTCTTTAAGTAGAATAATCATAGCTGATAGTAAGACATGCAAACGTAAAAGAAAACCGGATGCAAAACTGGTTACTTCTTACCCAGCTGGTTAATGAAAACAAAAAAGGAAAAATTGGATTTGGGATAAGACGCTTCAAGAAACCTGCTGCAAAGCTCCTGAGAAACTCTGCTCAAGTGCACCGAGGACAAAAGCTGCTTTAAACACAAAGGATGCTCGCACCAAATGTTGATTTCATTTAGTTAATAGAAATGAATTGATCAAGAAAATCTATTTATGACATTATTTTTGACAGCAAGTGCCTATAACGTTTAACAGGAGCTTTGCAGTAGGTTTCTTGAAGCATCAGTTCTTCTGGATTGAGTCTGTCTCAGTTTGCTCCATCCTTTGGAGTTGGCGGCGCGTTCTTGTTTACGAAACTTGGCGCGTCGGTTCTGGAACCAAACCTCAGGAGGAAAATACACTCTTAATTAAGAATAAAGGTTCCAAAAGCGGGTTTTCACAGTGATGCCACAGAAAACCAGCTTTGGTTCCCCCAAACAGTGATGCCTTTGTAGCTAGATTTAGCGACTTCCCCACCGTTTAGGGACAAATATAACAACTTCTTGGACAAACCTTATCTAAGTTCTCATCGTGCCCACTGATCTACATTCATCTTTATATAGATCAGTGAATTTGCCATTATGATGTCATCTAAGCTACAGGTTTTAGCTACTTTCAATTGAAAGCAGTTGGCAACACTGCCAAAGAACCTTTCAGTGAACAGTTCTTAAAAGAACCAATTTTTTCTTCATTTTTAGCTGCTGAGAATACTAGTGTTATAATCATTTTGGGCCACCGCTGTACTCTTAGAGCAAACATTTAGGAGTCCTAAATTTAGGACTGACACGCCCACACTCTTAAAAATAAAGGTGCTTACTAGGTTCTTCACAGAGATGCCATAGAAGAACCATTTTTGGTTCCACAGCTACAGGTTTTAGCTACTTTCAATTGAAAGCAGTTGGCAACACTGCCAAAGAACCTTTCAGTGAACAGTTCTTAAAAGAACCAATTTTTTCTTAGTGTGAAGAACATTTTAATAATCTAAAGAACGGTAACACTTTATTTTGATAGTCCACTTTAGACATTCTACTAAGAGTAAGTAACTTTGCAACTACATGTCAACTAGCAGTCATTAGAGTATTAGTAGACTGTCTGCTTAATATCTTCTAACACTTTATTTTGATGGGTCCACAACATGCAACACACTGACTGTGTCAACTTATTCTAATAACCCTAAACCTAACCTAACAGTCTATTCTGAGAGTTAGTAGACATGTAGTTGCAAATTAATGAGAATTAGTTGACATATAGTTGCAAAGTTACTTATAGTTAGTAGCATGTCTGAAGTGGACTATCAAAATAAAGTGTAACTTAAAGAACCTTTTTCCACTGTAAAGAACCTTTTGTGGAATGAAAAGGTTCCATGGGTGGTAAAGGCTCTTTGTGGAACCATTGATGCCTATAAAGAACCTTTATTTTTAAGAGTGTAAAGGGTGTTTGCTGTAGAAGAACCATTTGTGGTTCCTCACAGAACCTTCCAGTGAACAGTTCTTAAAAGAACCATTTTTGAAGAACATCTTTAAATCCTTCACACTTAAAAATGATGGTTCTTGATTGACATTGATGGTTCCAAAAAGAACCTTTAACATCCATGGAACCTTTTATTGCACAAAACGTTGTTTATAGTGAAAAAAACGTTCTTTAGATGATTAAAATGTTCTTCACACTAAAAAGAAAATGTTTTTTTCCACTATAGACTCTTAAAAAATAAAGTTTCCAAAGGTGGGTTTTAATATTGATTTCATTGAAGAACCATTTCTGGTTCCCCAAAGAACCTTTCAGTGAAAAGATCTTTATAGAACCATTTTTTCTTAGTGTGAAGAACATTTTTAGAACATTTTTGCCACAATAAAAAAACTTTTGTGCAATGGATTGATTTCATGGATGTTAAAGGTTCTTCATGGAACCATCAATGCCAATAAAGAACTTTTATTTTTAACCTTTATATTCCACAAAATGTTCTTTATAGTGGATTAAAAAAACATTTACACTAAGAAAAAAAGGAACCTTTTCCTGAAATTCTTTATAGTGGAAAAATGTTCTTCACACTATGAAAAAAGAAAATGTTAATTTAGGAACTGTTCATTAAAGGGTTCTTTGGGGAACCAAAAATGGGTCTTCTATGAAATTGCTGCAAAAAACAATTTTTAAGTGTTTTTCCACTATAAACTCTTTAAAATAAAGTTTCGGAAAGTTTTAGCATTGATGCCATAGAATAAACTTTTTTGGTTCCCCAAAGAAAAATGGTTCTGTAAAGTACCATTTTTTCTTAGTGTGAATAACATTTAAAAAAAAACTTTTTTCACTATAAAGGAACTTTTGTGGAATGGAAAGATTCCATAGATGTTAAAGGTTCTTAACGGAACCACTGATGTCAATCAAGAACCTTTATTATTAAGAGTGTGGAACCTCTTCCTGTGGAAGAGTTTTTAAAATCATCTCCACACCAAGAAAAATAAAAATGGCCCGTCGGTTCTGCAACCAAACCTGAGGAAGAGCGATGTTCTTGAGCATGTAAATCTACATCTACACCAAAAGTAAAGTTTTTATTTTTGTAAATATGTCAAAGACGAAACATTTTTTGGTTCCTTAAAAACCTTTCAGTGATCAGTTCTTAAAAGAATCCTTTTTATTTAGTGTGAAGAACATCTCAATCATCTACAGAACCTTTTTATTCAACCTTATTTTTACCTTTTCACCAAGAAACTCTTTTAAGAGAAAAGAGTAAAAAATATGAAGAATATTAATATTTAATATTGGTAATTTAGGAACGGATCATTAGTAAACCCATAATCAGTTGTGAATATTTGGTTGCAGCTCTTCTAATCGCATTCTGAGATGTTTCTCCATAAATCTCGTTTCTCCTGCTGGACTAAACATTTCTGCACCTTAATTTAAGAGGAAATGAAGAACTAATTTACTGACAGCAACATCATTCGTGTTATTGATGTGCATCTATAAGGCGTCCTTCCTTTAGTGGTTCCATGGACGATGAAGGTTCTTCATGGAACCATCGAAGCCAATAAAGAACCTTTATTTGTAAGAGTGTGAGACCATTCCATTCCCCAAAAGAAAAAAATGCTTCTTTTAAGAACTGATCACTGAAAGCTTCTCAGAAATGCTTCTTCTATGGCATTGTCGCGAAAACCCTCTTTATTTTTTAAGAGCGCAGACGGATAATAGCTGCTATAAATCAACCTAATAAAATCAACTAAATTAATTACATTTGGAAGCGTCTGCGAACAGCGCTGCAGGCAAAAAAGCGAGACCCAGATATTCAAATCAGCCAAAATTCAATTTGTTTTGTTAGATTTTTTTTACGAATAAAAATGCGTATCAATAGCACGTTTTTTGTTTTGTTTTGTTTTTTTGTATTTTGCGTGCCATTTATACTAAAAACTGACTTTGGCATGCATATAATACGCATTTTTGCGTGCATATAATACGCGCCTACCCCACACCACTAAACCTAACTATTGCGTATCATATGCACGCCGAAGTCAATTTCTGCGTATAAATAGTACGCCGAACAGAAACAGAAAAACGTGCCATTGAAACGCATTTTTAAAGTAAAAACGCTTTTGAAAATCAGTCCTGGAGCCTCACCTGCACTCGCGCCTCGGTCAGGTCGATCTTCAGCGCCAGCTCCTCGCGCGTGTAGATGTCTGGGTAATGCGTCTCCGCGAACACACGCTCCAGCTCCTTCAGCTGAGAGCTCGTGAAGGTCGTGCGGATCCGCCGCTGCTTGCGCTTCTCGTTCAGACCGGAGGGGTCCGAGAAGAACTTGTAGGGAACTGAAAGAGGAACGAAGATCAGTGGATTACGGATGTGAGGAGAGATTTGTGGCGCGGTTTAAGAGGACATATGTGAGGATTGAGTTGTTCAGGAAAGAAAGGCAGAAAGAAAGAAAGAAAATGATGAGCAATCTCGTTTTTCTGCGTTTCATTCTGTAGAAGCGCGCAGAGAAAATCAGTCCCATAAAGCATAAAAATAATATTTGTGGCGTCCGTTTATGAGAGTAGCTACTTTTAGACTTTACAAGGTCTATCTAT